AAGAGTTCTTAAACAGTGAAGTTCAAGGTGTATTGAGTTGAACAACCTCAAAACAATGAACAGCCACAGTCCATCGCTTATTTCTGATATGTACCGCTCTTGACGGAATCAAATGTGCCACCTGAACATCTCCCGTGAAAGTATCTATAAAAAATAGACAAATCTCCAACCTTTCTTCGATGTTCCAAACTATCAAGGTTGCCAGTTATGTTCGTGTCTCCAGTCAGGCGGTAATTGGTGGGTCAGGATTATTCAAAAGTTTTTTAACGAAGGTAAAGTTGTCTTATATTTTCCATGCTTAACTATCATTAAGCATGGACCGTAAATAAAATCATAATAATTAAAGTGACTGAAAAAAGTGCATAGTGTACGTTTCAATTGGAAATTGGTAATATGCCGATTACTCCAAAAGCCCTTCATCCCAGGCTTTCGATGTACTTACTTGGAAGGATTCGCTTTTTATGTGAATAATCATGTTATTTTTCAAAATATTCCTATTATTTTTATTACCAAAGAAAATCGTATTTATCCTTTTTGAGTTCATTGTTAAAGATATCATCAACTTGTGAGTATGTCTCTTTGATATTGCGATGTTATTCATTGATAGATAATGATGAGCCTTGTTACTCCAAGTCTAGTGTCTTCCAACAGAAAGTTGCGAAGTATTGATAATGGCCATCTTGTTGAAGCTCCTTCTGTCAAATTAGTTGTTTTGTCGGGAACAGTACTTTATAAGGCAGTTCGTAGTTGACAGTTGGAGGCATAAAGTCAGAGGTCACTCTGTTGCACTCTGCATTACATTGATTTGTACAATTGGCAATGTGCATAAGTCTGTATGCAGTCCATCTAGCCTCTCTCTCCAGAAAAATGTGGAGAGGAGGTAGATCTATAAGGATCTCCATGGCCGCTGACGGTGTTGTACTGATGTCACCACGGATGGCCAGACAAACCTGTCTACGTAAGCTTCGCCTGGGCCCTTCTCTGTAAAGCATTCGGCCATCAGGCAATTGCACCATAAATGATCATTGGTATGACAATCATCACATAAATCCAATGGATTTGTTTGGGACCTAAATCCCAAGTTTTACCACAAATCCTTCAACATGTCCATAGGGACAGTCTGGCTTTGTGTAAAACTTTTGCCAAGTGTTTCTTATGAGTAAGTAAATGTCAAAATTTTTGAGCATATGTAGTATCAAGTTCTTACTGCGATACATTGTGTTCTATTTCATTCATTCACCACCCTAATATCGTGCTTCAAAAAATTTAGCTTACCCGGCGCCACAAATGTCTGGGAAACATATTCCACCATATATTTAATGCGGCAATCTTATTCATCCTCCAGAAGTAATATTAAGTGAAGTCTGCAAGTCGAAAATGTTTCTCCAGCGAGACGAAATTAGTCGCGGAATGGCCCTATCGTTGTATCCGAATAGCTCTTGTTTTCCGCGCATTTTCCCCAAAATATGCCCTCGGGCATACGTCGAGATTTCACGCTCGTCTGAAACAATCATCTACCGTCACAACACGAAAACATTAATCCAGAAAGGCTGAAGGCTTCCACATACTCTGTCTCTGAGAATGGGAAGGGCTTGGTAACCTTCATCATCTCGCTGTCTCCTCAAGCTACACATGGGGATGAATCCGCAACAACTTTGGATCACGATCCTGTTGTTAAACGACGCGATTTCACGTAATGAAGTTGTTAAATATGAGATATTTGGGTTTTGTTCTCATATATCAAAAAGTAATCATGTGTTTCACTTTACAATAGCTTCTTCAGACGTGTTTATACTATGTAATGAATTATATGACTTTTTACAGCTACTTGATTACCAATCATTCTACCCGAGTTCACATATCCACTGATTACCAATTCGAACTTCACAAATAAAAGTTTTCAGGCTCATTTAAATGAATATGTTTTTAAATGAATATGTATCAAATGAATGTCACACCAGTGTCACTATTTTTCGGGTTTGGTTGCCGTGGATTTTTGGATATTCTTCCTGACGTTTCGCTGACGCGAGTGGCTAGCTCCTTCAGATGTTTATACATCCTCCGATGACTGAATATTACGGTTGCGTAAAACGTATTTATGTTGACTCAGATAGTTTGGTATGCTAATACCTGTACCTGGATGAGAAGAATTGAGTAAATCATGTTCATTTTGACTTAGGTAGTCTGGTGTGATAATACCTGTACCTGCATTAGGTAAATTGTTAATAACCTTCATAGACCCTTTTCTACCTGCCGTCACGCGGTTTGCTATTCTTGAACTTCTCAGAATGTAATTCCATATTTGATTGAGTTTCACAGCTTCTTCTTTTCTGTTCAAATGTTCCATGTGCTTGTGGATTTCTATTGCCTCCCGTACCAGTCAGTTATGGTATCCCTGGTCGGGGGCAATGAGTTCCGTGTTTTCAAACAGACTCCTGTCGTTTTCTTCACTGGCCTATTCTGCAGTTTCTTTCATGCTCCTTCAGTCTTGTTTCCATGGATCTTTTACTGGTTCCGATGAATATCTTCCCACAGGTAAGCGACATGAGACCGATCTGAGCCGACCAGAAACTTTGTTGCATATTTTTATCGGGTTTGAAAATCGTTTCAAAGTTGTGTTTCTCCAATTCTGTCTGTAACCCTAGGTCAAAGACAGAATTGATAGATTCGCGCGTGCAACCATCTGAGCCTCCTCCCGGTTTTTGAATCCTGGAACTCTTCAGTTTCATGGCTTTCTTGATCTTGGATACAATGTATCCATTCGATCACTTGAAGATAGAGAAAGTGTCATATATTGGTTTGTTCATTAACCTTCGCATATAAAAACAGTTTCCTTTTTTGTACATTTGTCACCAAATGACGACCTTTCATTTATTCCACGATCGGTTTTGAGTGAAAATCTGGTAAATGATAAGAAACGTGTAGAAGTAGAAACTTTTTTAGATAACAATGGTTCAGTTACTGAAAATGTTGTTAGTGAGAGTGTGAATGTAAATTTGGAAGAAGAAAACATAACCAGTACTCAGAGTAGATTATTGAGGAGGCGTAGTCAAATCAAGGCGCTTGAACGACTTATTCTATAGATGTGTTATGTTATAGGTTAGGTAATAGTCAATGTAAAAAATGTATATATGTGTGTATATATAATAGTAATACAAACGATCAATCTCAATCTTCGGATATGTTAGCAGAAAATGAAACAACTATATATTCTTCATTAATTCATATTCCCATTTTATCAAAACAAATTGAAAGCATATTCTCAAAATTCAATCAAAATGTCAATATTAAAATTACAAACAAAAATATCAAAACCGTTGGAAACTGAAAGATAAAACAGAACCAATGAAGCAAACTAATATAGTATATAATATACCTTGCAATGATTGTGATTTACAGTACATTGGAACTTCTTCTAGATCATTCAAACATCGAATTGTTTCCCATAAAAGTGACATAAGACTCAATAAAAAATCTTGTGCTTTGACTGAGCATTGTATTACAAAAAATCATTTTCCAAATTACATTAATTGAAACATATCTACATCAAAAATATATTATATGTATTTCAATAAGCAGAAAAAGAAATGATAACAATAATAACATCCGAAACGAACACTATAATTGTGATGAAAATTGAAATGGAGTAATTTATATAGGTAACCAAAAAAATTATTGGCGCAATAAATGTTCGAATGGGAGTCCTTCCATATCGAGAAATTTTTAAACTCGGTTTATCATATTATTTATTGCCCTTAGTACACTTATTTGCTGCATTGTTGCGGAATCATTCAAAATCCTCAATCTCGAGCCTTCCACATTTTCTATCTCTCTGCCAGCGTAAATCCTATTTTTCAATGTCCCCCATAGTAAGATCTGGTGATCTTGCAGACCATCTTATTGTCCCATTATCTGTCTCGAAATGAAAGGACTCCAATTCGAACATTTATTGCACAATAAATTTTTTTGTGTATATAAATTTCAATTTTTATTACAAATAGTGTACGTTTCGGATGTTAGTATTGCTACCATTCCTTTTTCTGCTCATCATAACACATATAATATATTTTTGTTGTAGATATGTTTCAGATAATCATAAAAGGTTTTCTTATTCGAAGTTCATTGGAGAAAACGCTCAGAGCAATGTAAAGAATATGAATAGGTACCTGAAATGGAAAAAAAACTCTCGAAAAACTCTACGGTACATAGGGAGACGTGAAAGTTGCTATTGTGTTTTTATTCAACTCAGTCAACCAATTTTCAGGGCCGTAATTTAAAAGGGAATAATTCACACAATTATAATCGAATATTACCGAAACATCTCGAAATATAAAATTGAATTTAATTTTTTAGTATGAAGTGAACGTCTACGATCCAAAAACTACAACAAAAAATACAGGTCCGTATTTAAAATTCAAAGATGGGGTGTCAGATGACACCCTATATAAAAGGTTCATAGATATATTCTGAGAGCCCACATCAAGGGACAATAGCAAAATGTGGACAGATTTTCAATATGTCTACGAATAAAGAAGATATAGGCAAAAAAGTAATTTAGGATTTTTTTATTTTTCCTGTATATCTCCAGAACCACATCATTGAATAGGTCTCTAAAATACACAACTTTGCCATAATTTAACCGATACTCTATCTCTTATCGTTTACGAGATATATCTGAAATTAATCGAAAATTGGAGTATGTCGTATTTTTTCATATTCAAAATTTTTCAACACAAAAAAATACTTCGTCGAAAGAGAAAAATTAATAGCTAGGTCACCTTTGTCACCAGGTCTGAATCCTTCCACAAAGACATCTCCCATATTTCGAATTCACACATTGACAATGAGGCATTTTTCGTATCAATAACCTTATTCGTTCTGTAAATCTCTCAATAACATTCGTATCGTAAATGCAACATATCTGCAAGATATGAGCTTTTCCGTTAGGTTCTCATGATAATTGATATAACACAGGAAATAATATGAACGGGGAATCAGGATTCTTTATGGTTCTCAGTATGAAGTTAGACTTAGATATATTGTATCAGTGATGTTAGTTGTTCTAGTATTACTCACTTCGTTTGCAGCAACTAGTGCTAATTTCTATGACAATAATGTAACAGGTACGTATATAGAAAAACACTTTGTGAGAAAGAATGCTAGGGAGTTCAGGTATCCCTTTATGATTAACGAAATTTAAAATAGATGACTCAATGTAAATGATTATGTGAATATATTTTTCCATCTGGGAAATTGTATCATCGAAATCAAAAAATTATTTTTTGAAACCAGTGAATAATAATGTGAAAAAATTAGCTATACAATAGTAAGTCATCAAGGAAAGTTGGTAGCGCTCTCTAGGCGAGGATTGAAGTGGCACGTATGTCTTTTTCCATCAAGAAGTTTTGAAAGTGATATCTTTCCAGGTGAATTTTGCTCGACAAGCTTTCACTGATACAACTGCAAACACCCCTCAGATATTTGTTTGAAAAAAAGTGGTTGACAATGTTTCATGGTGAATTTAATTAGTTCGGACTTCCATTGTCTATTATGATTCGAAATTTATGAAAGAACAAATAAAATTAGTATGAATAGCTGAAATATGAATTATACATTGTATATGAGTAATGAAACGTGAAAAAAAATATAATGGAACGAATAAAATGAAATGATTAAATAAAAGATGAAAATGACCACGAAGTAAAAATAATGAAAAATTAAAATCAGCAAAAAAGAAGGAAAAAAAGAGAGAAAAAAAGGGAATATTTCAAACCAAGTTACTTCACGACGTTTCAATTGTTAACATCCACACTTGTCTTCGGGTGATGAATGTTTAATATGACTAATTATATGGCATTCGAACGCTTTCACCTATAGTCTCTTTTCTCTCTCCGCTTCACTAGTTTAGCGAAAGTTGACAGTTTTTCCACTTGATTAAAAGTTTCAATATGTTGCATATCTCTACGCCAGCTTGCCTGAATGCGTCGTTGTACAATATATATGCAGCTTCTCTGAATTTATTCTTGAACCAGTGTTCCTCCCTGTGGATGATCTCAGCTTGGGACCACTTGATGTTATGTTAACGAGTCTAAGTAGACTCTACCATTCTCGATTTGCTGGTTTCTCTTTGCTGTGTGTTTCTGTTGTTCTCAGCAATGCGGACTTTCAATAGCCTATTGGTTTCTCCGATATAGGATTTGCCGCACTTACAAGGGTATCTGACAAATGCAATTTAGGATTCGCAGTCCGCGTTTGGTGGCCTGGTTTTCGTGAGGGTGCTACGGGTTGTATTTCCGGCTCTGAAACCGGTCCTGTTGTTGTACTCGGACCCAATTCTTCTTATCGTTTTTGACAATCCTCTGACGTAGGAAAGGGCAAGCACTGGTTGTGATGTCTTCTTTACCTTGCGAGGCTCTTGTTTTCTCGTAGCCAGTTCTATCATTACTTCAGAGTAGACCTTCCTTTGCTTCACAGAGCCCGAAAGCAGGATCCACTAGAGTAACAACTAGTGCTTGCCCTTCCCTACGCCAGAGGATTTTCGAAAAAAAATAAGAAGAAATGGGTTCAGGTTCAAACCGTGCTTCAGGTCCAGAAACACTATACGTAGCAACCCCATGGAAGCTAGGCCACCAAACATGGACTGCAATTTCAAAAATTGCATTTCTGTATCTGTAGAGTAGGAAGGCTGAGTGTAGGACCATAGCACTAAGGTCACATGTGACCCATTGTACAGCCTCCCGAGGAGTTATCCTCCTAGGTCGTAGACAATCCTATTCTTTCCAGGATGGTGGATAGTTTACTAGGAGACATCTCCTTTATATAGCAGGTGTAGGCCAAGACTCGCCGAACACACACTCTCTTATTGACGATAATGCCGGACACTCACATAAGACATACCTGACAATTTCATCTTCCTGTTCACACATCCTGCATAGAGGTTTGTCCACTAGCTCTACAATATGGAGGTGTTTCCTTAGTTGACAGTGGCCATTTAGAACTCCTACTGTTAAGTGAAAGTTTTTCCTGGTCATCGCCAGATATTTCTTCGTCGCCAGCTTTCCAGGATCGCCCAGGGTGATCCTGGCAAGACTGCATTCCATTCCATTTCCTCAGGGATTGATCATGGGTGTGACGTTTGGCTAATTCTGCAATTGTCGAAGTCATTAGGTCGTAGGTGTCACTGGGTCCTGAAATTCTTAGTCCAGCCGCTTCCTTGGCTAAAGAGTCGGCAATGCGATTTTTAACTCCTGTTGTGCTGTTTAACCCATCTCAGGATAATGTTATTAGTTACCGAGGCTTTGGCTGAATCTCGTTGGTACTCTAGTGCTAGCTCTGAGGTAACACGTTGTCTTTTCAAGGCCAATAGGGCTTGTCTACTATCAGTGAAGATTGTTTTGTTTTTGACAGAAATTTCTTTCCTGGTTATTCGTTTTGTAACGGTTGAAATACCAGCCAGTTCTGTTTGAACCACTTTGACATTTTTTCCCATTCCCAAGTTAACCTTAGGCTTAGTGATCTGGAGTAAACTCCACATCCTAAGCCTTCTTTGGTTTTTGAGCCGTCTGTATATATATGCGTATTGCATTTGTGAACTGCGACTCTCTATTTTGTGGGGTTTATTAAACACAAACCTGGATTCAATTGCATCACTGCTGCCTGCAGCAGAGGTTGCGCAGTAAGCGCTTCTCGCCACAGGCTTAGCTTCAATTAGCTTATTTCTACTTCGAGGTTCACACCAGCCGTACGCAATCGTAATATGTCCATTACGTACAGGTTCAGAGGGGTCAGACCAGTAATTATTTCCATTGCCGCGGTTGGTGTTGCTCTCATGGCTCCTGTGATGTTTGAACAACTCGTAGAGTTTCATTTACATAATAACTGTTTTTGATGCGTATCGAAAGACAGTATGGAGCTACTTCAATTCAGGTAAACGAGTATTTTGGAATGTTAAAAATGATACTTGCTAATGGAAAAAGGGGTTTTTCAAAAATTTTAACGTTTGTCCACTCACAAAGACTTTCAATTCCAGATCTGAGCAAATGCAAAATCCACTATTCACGATCAGGAAGCGTATACAAGGATTTCTACAAAATATCCGAGTCTTCGGGAGAAAATGACACCTTGCGGCTCGATTTTCATTTTTCTGTCTTAGCTCCAAGTGATGCACATATTCTTCTCGCCCCATCAGAAAAGGTAGAGAAAAGAGATCCAGTCTACGAAATAGTAATTGGGGCGGGAGGAAATACCTTCTGTGACATCCGGAGAAAGCAGAAGTCCGATGTGAGGGCTTCGATGAGAATAAAAGGCTTGCTTTCTGCTTTGGATCCGCAATCATTTTGGCTACATATCACAAAAGGTGAGTATGTTAACGATAATAAACAAACTTCTAGACCGCAAACATATACTTGACACCTCTGACGAAAAATAAATCCAAAAACATGCACTTTTCGGAAAGACAAGAACTACTCACTCTTTTCAATGTGCGTTTCACCAACCAAGATGGCGTCTTCAGGAGTTCTGAAATAAAAATTAGTTTCGGGCTCATGCCGTCAGTTGAGACAGTGTAAGTATTGAAAAAATGAAAACAGTAATTCAAGTGACGGTAATTTGTCAAAAGTTCTTATACTGCTTACGATCGGAGACTTTCCTAGCCATTTCCATTTTCGAAAAAGTGAACCTGCATATGCGAAGGTGAGAAATTTCAGTACGGCTTTCTTGAAATTCATTTTTTATGTAAAAAACGGTCATTTGATAATTCTGTAAAAATTAGTTGGTTCACGGAGCGGTTAACGTATAATCAACCGAAAAAGAATAAATGACCTTGAACCCTAATTCTATAGCGAATGATATCATGTTTACCACCACAGCAGGTTAACGGAAAAACAGATTTTAACAGATTTTTTCAACATTCATTACCTTGGTATATACAGGGTGGGATACCTCATATGACACGGTCCCTGTAAAACAAAACATTAATTATTTCGGGAATTACTTCATTTCATTATATGTATATTGAATGATCTAATCTAAAGGAACAATTCATTCAGGCCAGTCTCAACTCCCTACACTGTAGGTTAATGGACTGACACCTATCAGAAAACAACTACTCCCCTGGCTAATATCACGAAGGGCGTTGAATTATATCCGACAGGTGTCAGTGCTGAATTGTTTACTATTATTCCTGCAAATGCTGTTATTGGAACACACTTACAGACTGGTTTCAGGCTGTTTGGCCACTCGTCGGTGCAAGGTATTGTCTATCATCAAATCGCAAATCGATGATTTGCGATAAATGAAAATCGAATTCCTTCATAGTATCATTCCTCGAACTCGGCTGAAGCGGACAACAAACGATAGGTTTGTCATCGTCTCATCTGTTTGTGAAGGAGGTAACCAACCGCATATCCGAAATTTGCCCAATTCCTCATATAAGGAAAGACAACTTTTCATATATAGTCAGTGGGCGTACTTGAAGACTGGCTATAAATCAAATCATCTGAAGGAACAATTCGTTCAGGCTAATCTCAACTCCCTACACTGTAGATTAATGGATCTATTGCGGCAGTTGTATCACCAACAGGATATGCAGGAATAACTTCAGTGAAGAATCCTGCACTGACACCTGTCGGATATAATCCAACGCCCTTTGTGGTATTGGCCAGGGGAGTAGTTGTTTTCTGAAAGGTGTCAGTCCATTATCCTACAGTGTAGGGAGTTAAGACTGGCCTGAACAAATTGTTCCTTTAGATGATTTGGTTTATAGCCAATCTTCAACTATGCCCATTGACTATATGTGACATGTATATTGATTGAGTCTGCGTAAAAAATTGTTTTGAAATCTACAGGGTAACTCAAAAAAGTGTGATACATCGAAGTTGTATTTTTTAAATGGAATACCCCGCATTTCGTTTCACTTTTGAATAGATCAGTGGAAAATAATATGATTTCATGGAAGGTTCTATGTTCCTAAGTATAACAGTTTCGAGTTATTGATTTTTTTATGGTAATTTTAGATACAAATGGAAACTGAACAACATCGAAATATATAAAAATCTTCCTTTCGAATTCTGACCAAGCATAGAAGAGGTTTTGGTCTTTGGATTTCAATAAAACCTTTTTTCTCAATATTATACAGAATGTTCAAGAAGCATTGTCACTTTTTTATAATTTCGGACAAAGATAACTTTGTTATTGTCAATAGAACATCCTGTATTTTTTCGATATGATCTGATAATATAAAATTCAATCGTCTTTCATTCACACTCTTCGAAAATTACCTCCTATTTTCAAATTTTACATTGTGGTTGGAAGAGTTTCGTAAACCTCATTATTCAAGTATCCACATGAAAAAAATCCCTCAACTTGTGTGATTGTTTCAATTTTTTACGATTTTCACCATCTATAACTCAAGGCATAAAGCTAAAACACATTTTCTACTTCAGGACCCTCAAAATTCAGTATGCTCTGGCGGTTTTCTCTCTTCAGCCAATCCCAGATTCGTTCGATTGATGACCTATTTATTGTGTAAAAACCATCAAGCTCTTTCCTTTTAATTTTTTTTTGTCTATTTATAACTTTATATTCATTGTCGTTTGAGCGGTTAAACTTTTTCCAGACATTTTATTCTGTCTTTGACTAAAAAAAAAATTCCTGAAAACTGCTGAACCCAGAAAATAGGCTGCTGAAAGAGTTTTCAGATTGGTGCTCATCACAGTTTGTTTGTTCTCGAGTGTACACAATGATGAATTCTGAATTGGATTTCAAACTGAACAAAAGCCCATTAGTTACATTTAATGTATGGCTACTTATTGTGTTTAAACAAATTCCTCTTGTTTGATGTTCAGTGCACTAGATTTAACGACCATTACGATTTGCTTTTTTTGTACCTTGAAACAACTGATGTGTGCATTTTCCAGATTCTTTGAGCTCCTAGAAATCAAGCATACTAGAAAATTTGTTTTCTTGTGTCTTACTAGTTTTTCAAACCAATATTCATGCAATTTTGTGTGAAATTCAGTTTTTTCTGATTATGATAACTACATGAAAAAAGTGAACACACAAAATCCAGAATGTGTTTAATATTCCCATCAGCAGTTGAAGATGAACCATTATATCACTGCGTTGTTCAGTTTCAGGGGAAAATGAAATGTATTTATTTGCTTTCAGATGGAGATATTGCTGTGGGAAAAGAAGGAGAGCAGTTACCATTCATCTCTTGGGTAGATCCAGATCCCCTTCCACTTGAAGTTATCAGTTTCAGTACTTGGTCTGGTATTGAAGCAAAGTGGTACTTTGATTGCGAGAGGAACAATGAAACACAGGTTAGTATACAATATATTCAAGGTGGAAAGGTTCAACGTGGAAAGGTTCAACGATCAACCTGATACAACAGTCAATTCTATCTTGTTCAGCTCATGAAGTGACAATGAGGAAAAGTTTTCCATTATTCAAAATCTTTTCAGATAAATTCAGAAAAAAATGGTGGATTTTGGATCTTTTCGAATATCGGCATTTCTTAAATTCCAAAACACGATTTCACAAAGCTTTGCAATGAGTGTTTTTTTCATAATTCAAGCGACTTTTCTCCTTTCTCAATTTCAAAATCTTATTTTATACAGAGTGTCTGAAAAATACTTCTCAATTTGTATCTTTGATAAACAACCATAACTAATTTGTTTCAACTGGAACACCCTGTTTTCGAATTCAGCCAACCAATGTGAACAACTTTGATCAACTATGTCCTATACATATCTCTGACCGTTTAAATCCTTCTATAATTTTTTTGCCTCCATACAAATACAACATTTCAAATATAAAATTCGATGAAAAATGTATTATTGAACACATCGAATAATGAATAATAACTTTATATTAGTTCAGAAAGGTTTAATGGAATACATGAATGAAATTTCATAGTGGGTGTATGACAAACATTACTATTTTGACAGAAGAACGAACACTTTTCCAAATTAAATTAATAACAAAAATAATTCTAGCTTCGCAATTATTTTGATACTAACATGACAAAAATTCAGTAGCTCAGGTGCTTGAAATGCTGACCATTCACTTTAAACACTGATGGATTACGTGATCAGTCGTGGCTCTGCGGATTTCCGACGGGTCGATTTCCTCGGGGGCACATCTCACTCGATCTTAGAGTTCATGTTTCTTGTATTCTAGGTGTTCTGTATATCTTTTCTTTGATGTTTCCCCAGAGGTGAAAATCTAGTGGAGTCAGATCCGGTGGTCGAAGCGGCCAAATCCAAGGACCCAAACGTCGTATCCACTGATCTTCGAACATTTCGGTTAGTTTCCTACTTACTTCACACGTGTAATGTCCAGGAGCTCCATCCAACTGATATTAACAATTCCGAGAAACAAATGTATTCATTTTGAAAGAGGTCAAAAAAAACTAAATGTCCAGATGTCACATTTGATAGCTCACATGAATACATATACAGGATGTTTTCTGAGATTTCAGTTCAGGTTCATATATCCGTTTTCAACCTTTTGTTATTGCGATGATAATCAGATTTTTTATCAATTTCGACCAAGAAAATATATGCATATCATTTAAGATTTTTTACTTTTTCTTGAGGCATTTTGGTGTCAATTCTTGTTTCACTCCATAGCTTTCAAAATATATTCCGCTCTTCAAGATCCATTTATTTGTCTTCTCTTTATATATTCACGACGTTTGTTTTCTCTCACACCAAGTGGTCTGATTGAAGAAGTTTGAATACCCAAAAAATATAGGAAGAATTAGACTAGTTCCGATCATCAAAAGAAGAGAAAACGATTTCAGGATTCATCTTTCAATAAGTGAGTCAAAGTATGAACATTTGTTTGAAGGTGATTGACAATGTTTCGTGATGAATTTCACTAGTTCGGACCTCCATTGTCTACTATATAAAATGATTTGAAATCCCTGAAACAAGTAAAAAAGAACAATTACAAAAAGAATAGTTGAAAATAACAATTATATTAAGCAACAATAAACCTGAAATGAAATGATGGTGAAATAACCTACAAGTAAAAATATAGTAGTTGAATAAATAAAAATTAAAGGAATGAAAAAAGATAATAATGAAAATAAAAAAGTGTAGAGATTCCAAGTCACGTTAGTTCACGACGTTTCGATTGTTGGTATCTACAATTGTCTTCGGGTGATGACTGGACTGATTCCTCCGAGAGATGACTATTTCAACGACCTATAAAATAGTCTTTCCGAATTAGTGAAAGTATGAACAGTTGAAATGTGTTGGGGAAAAAGTTTTTGGCTTTCTGCTCATCCTGCCTCATACAAAAATGTGGGAATCTTCCAAAAAAAAAAATAGAAAGCAATCAATTTCATGACCAACTCTTCACGAAGAGTGTATATCATGCAAAGAAGTAACTTTCAGACACAAACTGAAAGGATAACCCCTCTCAAAACAACTAATTTCATATAAATATTGAATTACATCTAAGAAAAATACTTTTGAAACAACTAACTGGTGATTTTTTAAGAGGTATAGAATTTGATTTCCAAAACAGCACCAAAAATTTGAAAAAATTGATGAAATCTTTATTGGAATCGATAATTTAATGTTTAAAGATGATTTCATGCAAATATTGTCCACGGCTTCGCTTTAGATGGCCCATGCGCAAGGTCTAATTTTGGCACAGTCTCTCTAACATATCGACCGGTATTTCACGTATAAATGCTCCAATATTGGCCTCCAGAGTCGTTGCTGATTTATCCCTGTAGACATAGGCCTCAACATGACCCCATGAGAAATAATCCAGAGGCGTTAAATCACACAACCTAGGCGGCCAATTGACGAGTCCCAAACGTGAGATAAACTGTTCACCGAAGACGGCTCTCAATTGTCACATGTCAGGCATGTCAAATTCTTCCTTATTGGGCAACAAAATATTCGTCAATCATTACACGGTAGCGCTCGCAATTCACAGTAACGTTCCAGCCATTGTCGTCTTTGAAGAAGTAAGGCCCGAAGATGCCACCGACCCATAATCCACACCAAACAGTGACTTTTTTGGGATGCATCGGTAGCTCTTGCAATGCTTGTGGCTGGTCTTCATTCCAGGTGCGGCAATTTTGCTTGTTAGCGTATCCATTCAACCAGAAATGAGCCTCGTCGCTGAACACAATTTTTCGATGAAAATGTGGATCTTCCTCCAACTTTGCCAGCGCCCATTCACCAAATGTTAGACGTTGTGGGAGGTCGTCTGGCTTCAATTCTTGCACCAGCTGTATCTCAAAAGGTTAAACACCCAAATCCTTTCGTAACATTTTTCACGTAGTGGAGTAAGAGAGACCCAATTGTTGCGAACGGCGGAAAATCGACATTTCACGGTCATCACGAACACTGGCGAATACAGCCGCAATATTCTCTTCGGTCCTCACTCTACGTAAGCGTGTTGGTGGTTTAATGTCAAATAGTGTAAACGTGGTTCGAAATTTAGTCACAAACTTCCGAATAGCTCCCTCAGTAGGCCGACGAAACTGCTCATAAATTGGAAGAAATGCACGATGTACTTTCTTCACCGAGCATGAATTTTGATAATAAAATTCAATAATTTGCAAGCGTTGTTCATTCGTGAGTCGATTCATGGTTAAATTATAGACCAAACTGAACAAGTTTGACAATGATACAAGACACGATTTACGCGTGACCTGTCAAAAACAGTGTTGCCAAAAAGATACCAGCAAAAAATCACTCATTACTCTAATATGAACATTGAATTTATAGGATTCGATGTTTTTTTCGCATCTGCTCAGTACCTTTCGACTATTCATGTTCGATAATGTGGACAGATTTTCAATATGTCTGCGAATAAAGAAGATATAGGCAAAAAATTATTAGGGATTTTTTTGTTTTTCCCGTATATCTCCAGAACCAAAAGAGCTATATTCAATTTATCTGCATCATTGAATAGGTCTCTAAAATACGCAACTTTGCCATAATTCAACCGACACTCTATCTCTTATCGTTTACGAGATATATCTTAAATTAATCGAAAATTGGAGTATGTCGTATTTTTTCATATTCAAAATTTTTCAACACAAAAAAAATACTTCGTCTGAAGAAAAAAATTATTTGCTAGGTCACCTTTGTCACCAGGTCTGAATCCTTCCACAAAGACATCTCCCATATTTCGAATTCACACATCAACAATGAGGCATTTTTCGTATCAATAACCTTATTCGTTCTGTAAATCTCTCAATAACATTCGTATCGTAAATGCAACATATCTGCAAGATATGAAGCTTTTCCGTTAGGTTCTCATGATAATTGATATAACACAGGAAATAATATGGACGGGGAATCAGGATTCTTTATGGTTCTCAGTATGAAGTTAGACTTCGATATATTGTATCAGTGATGTTAGTTGTTCTTGTATTACTCACTTCGTTTGCAGCAACTAGTGCTAATTTCTATGACAATAATGTAACAGGTACGTATATAGAAAAACACTTTGTGAGAAAGAATGCTAGGGAGTTCAGGTATCCCTTAATGATTAACGAAATTTAAGATAGATGACTCAATATAAATGATTATGAAAATGTATTTTTTCATCTGGGAAATTGAATCATCGAAATCAAAAAGTTATTTTTTGAAACCAGTGAATAATAATGTGAAAACATTAGCTATACAATAGTAAGTCATGAAGGAAAGTTGGTAGCGCTCTCTAGGCGAGGATTGAAGTGGCACGTATGTCTTTTTTCATCAAGAAGTTTTGAAAGTATATCTTTTCAGGTGGATATTGCCCGACAAGCTTTCACTGATACAACTGCAAACACCCCCTAGATATTTGTTCGAAAGAAAGTGGTTGACAAAGTTTCATGGTGAATTTTATTAGTTCGGACTTCCATTGTCTAATATGATTCGAAATTTATGAAAAAACAAATAAAATTAGTATGAATATCTAAAATATGAATTATACATTGTATATGAGAAATGAAATGATTAAATAAAAGATGAAAGTGACCACAGAGTAAAAATAATGAAAAATTAAAATCAGCAAAAAAAATGAAAAAAAAAGAGAAATAAAAAAGGAAATATTTCAAACCAAGTTACTTCACGACGTCTCAATTGTTAACATCCACACTTGTCTTCGAGTGATGACTGGATTATTCTTCGAAGAGATGACTAATTTTATGTCATTCGAATGCTTTCACCTATAGTCTCTTTTCTCTCTCCGCTTCACTGGTATAGCGAAAGTTGACAGTTTTTACGCTTTATTAAAGGTTTCAACATGTTGCATATCTCTACGCCAGCTTGCCTGAATGCGTCGTTGTACAATATATATGCAGCTTCTCTGAATTTATTCTTAAACCAATGTTCCTCCCTGTGGATGATCTCAGCTTGGGACCACTTGATGTTATGTTAATGAGTCTAAGCAGACTCTACTATTC